ATTATAAATTTACTCAAAGATACAGGAAAAATAACGTGTAAACCTGTGAGCGTTCTTATGGATCTAAATCTTAAACTGAGTAATACAGAAGAAGATGTTGCAGTAGATAAAGAAATGTATCAACGTCTAGTTGACAGATTAATTTACTTGTCTCACACTAGACCCCATATTGCATATATTGTAAGTATGATTAGTCAGTTCATGCACTGTCCTAAAAAGCAGTTCATAGAATCCTACAGTGTCTTAAGGGAACTCTAGGAAGAGGAATTTTGTTCAAAAAAAATGGAAATACAACCTTTGAGGCCTATATTTATGCAAATTATGCAGGTTCAATTGTTGATAGAAGATCCACTACAGGGTACTGCACCTTTTTTGGAGGAAATCTTGTGACTTGAAGGAGTAAGAAGCAAAATGTAGTAGTCTGTTCTAGTGCAGAAGCTGAATTTCGAGTCATGGCACAAGGCATTTGTGAATTACTTTAGCTCAAAATTATTTTAGAAGATTTGAAAATCAAATGGGAATGACCCATGAAGCTCTACTGTGATAATAAATCTGCTATCAATATAGCACATAATCCAATTCAACATGATCGAACTAAGCATATTAAGGTTGATAGACACTTCATTAAGGAGAAACTTGGTAGTGGGCTTATTTGCACCACATATGTGTCCTCACAAGGGCAATTTGCAGATATTCTCACTAAAGGATTGAGTAGCACTAATTTTGAACGAATTATATCCAAACTGGAAATAGATAATACTTATTCACCAGCTTGAGGGGGAGTGTTGGAAATAAATAAATAAATTGTATATTTTCCACTAAAATGAGCATTTTAGTCTTAAGTTCATGTATATTTAGATCCATGCATTTAAAGAATTGGACTATTATTCATTTCTCCTTATAAACATAATATGTAATTAATTATATAGTGTGTATAAATATCGAGGTTACTAAGTGTTATACTCACTCAAGCACATTCAAAAAATTTCTTATTCCTATTTTTCACAAAATCAATTGTGAATTTATCAAAATTACAATGTCAACATAATCTTGTTAAAGTTCTAAAGTGCAGTTTTAATCAAAATTACAATAGCTCACAGGCGATTCTATCAATATTACCATGATTTCAGACATGTGCTAATGTTGGTCATATGCCAAATGTGAAATTCAGAACTCAACAAAGAATCAGTAAACATGATTGTTCGTTCAATCAAAAATCATAGCTAGTTCTGAAAAAATGTTATTATTCTATGTATGCACAGCACAAAATCATAGCTAGTTCTGAAAAAATGTTATTATTCTATGTATGCACAGCACTGGTAATCTAGCAATCAACTGACCATTAAATGTCACCTAATATTAGTTAGCAGCATACCCAACTAGATGGTATTTATTTACCGGAACATTATTCAGATAATAGAAAAAAAAATATATATGGTTTTGAGAGTAATTCTCAGTAAGGAGTCTTTTTGCTAGTCATGGGGATTACTGTCCCTAGCAAAGAGCCGCGAATACTGGTAGTCTTCTTTTAGAAGTCGGCTGATTAAGAATACCAAAAATATGTGCATCAACTTCCTTCCTCGAGGGAACTCTATCCAAACAAGTTGGGAGGAAACACTCAATGCCATCATCCAGAGGTGACCAGTCACTGATGGTGTTGGAATTGGCGTGCATGCGACGGTGTTCAGGTGAAGTTGGTTGTGATATTATTATGGGTCTTGTGACGACACATTCAGGTTCAGGTTCAGGTTCAGCTACTTCTTGATGTTCTTGAATAGTACGGGTATTTGGGCTATAAATGGACGGTCCTGGTCTAATAGAAATTTTGCCCATCTGTGCCTACACAACCAAGTAGAAATATTTAACCGCTGATTAGGTGTTATTATGATAAAGGGGATGTAGGTGTATATATGATTTGATTGCTTACCTCAAATTTGTTCATCATGGAGAAACGACCTGGATGAAGCTCTTCTCTGACGTGAGCAAACTGCAAAACAATAATAGCAGCGGTCAAAGATTTGAGTCAAATAGCTCCAAGATTCTTAATCAAACTATCTAGGCACACATTCAATCCCTAAAATCACGATACGGTTAACCAATATGTATCCAAGAACAACAATAAAGATTCAAACACTCTTTTGTGAAGAATTTGAAAACCCCACTACGTATAGAATTATAGATGTTAACTGAAGTAAAGAAAATTGAGAGATAAAAGTACCTTTTTCTAGAAAAAACCAAACCGATATGAAAATTTTCTCGTTGAATAAAGGAAAGAAACCCTATAAGAATACTTGCAATGAGATAGAATCTTGCAACCGTTACAATTTATTTCCGCTTTTGTTTGTCTATTTAAGCTATAATTAGGTTGGATAATATCTTTGATTGATTTAGACTTATTCTATACGTGTTTAATTTAATTGATTTGAAATTAAAATTATCTTATTAAATGTAAGATTAAGTTCAAAATTGATAATGATTTTATATATTCAATTGCATCTTCAGTCAAGATTTTTGAGTAATGGGATACCATTTAGTTTATTATCTGTTGACCATTAAACGCCTAAAATATATTGGACTCCTATCTTATTTCTGAATAATCAGATTTGTAAATAAAATTAGAGGATTTTCTTAATTTCTTTGAGTGTCGATTTGTTTGCAATGCTCAAATCTGACTTATCAACTGAGATGCCAACAGCAGCAGATCATACTGGAGTTATTGCTTCAGGAAAAGTAACGGGTCGCGGACTGTCATAGCATTCATTCTAAGATATGATAAAACAACCACCTTAATTTAGGATGAAACGGCCGGCTTGCTTCTGTGAAAGCAATTAGGTTCGGGAAAGTTTCATCCATTGATTTTAAGCCATCCTAAAGTCAAATAACCTAAAACATGGAATCACTACCAACATGCAAATTTCCTATCTGGCCCAATTGAACAAGAAACTTGTCAGCTGTACATACCTGAATATCGCGAGAGCGTTGAGGGATCTTTGCAATTTTAAAAAGACTGATCTTAGTATATTCTCTCTTACACCGCAGCATTTTCGCTCGCCTACCTTCAAATCGCGTTGGGCAATTTATTTCTAATCTGTTTTCCTTTGTGTCTAATTCGTCCACGTTACACGCTTATGAGGCATCCAGATGTAAGTAAATTTTTCTGTTATATCATAACGCATATTCTAACGTGTTCGGACACAGAAAAAGATGCTCTAGTGACTTGTCTGGATTCACAATCGTAAGAATTACTAACGTCCAATATTTTCTTAACGCAATTTTTGTTAAGCGATAAATACTAACTTCAAAGTCAAAAACGTTTTAGCTGGATAACTCGCCGTATTCCAAACAAATGCTAAATCTAAATCAATCAGGCTAGGATACTGTTGGAACTTTTGGTAAAGGTAGACATAAATAATTTTCAAGAAAGACAAAATGAACTGATATAGTCTTAAAGGTTGCATATCAAACAAACCCTTGGTTCCAAGTTGTGTTTGGGTCTTCTGGGATCTTTAACCGACTATGGTCAAATGGAATAGTTAAAAGTTAATGCAGGATCACATTTTCATTAATGGAAATAACAATGCCAACAAACTCATACCTTAATCAGAAAAATCTTTTTTTCCAATTTAGATGAATAAAATTCATAAAGAGGATTAAATTTACTTTTCTAAAGTCTGATATATTTATATTTACTGCATCAAAAAGCCAAAACAAGAATACTTAAATTCGAAATAGGTATGGCGCTAACAAACCTGGCATTTGGAATTGAAGCGGCAGTTTCCAGATTCTTCCCACGCTCTGCAAATCTCCGCCTTAAACAAACTCTTGTTGGACGAAGAAGAGGAAGAGGAGCCCCTACTGGAAGAAGACGATGATGACCTTCCGCTCTTTCCTCCGAACATCGGCCTCACCTGAATATCATCCATCACAATAACTTCCTCTTCCACCTTCACTGGCGTTCGGTACATCGGCGGCGACTTCAATTCGAAGTTCTCGATTGAAGAAAGCGGTGAGAGGGACAATCTGCCGCGAGAACCAAAGCTACTGTTCGCAGACCTATACTTGCTGGAGCCGTAAAGCGGGGAATTGAAGGCCTCACCGGATTTAGATGAAATCGGAGATCCGGCGTAGAAGTACTGTGCAAGCGGCGAGCCAGCGTCGAATTTCTCGGTGTACTGTTGAAAACGTGGACTCATCGTCGCTGATTGGAGATAGCGTCCTCTCGTTTCATCCAACTCGATCTGCAACGGCGAAAAATTCTCGTTCAGAGTCCTCAGCTTCGAAACCTTCATCTTGCCGTTGCTCATCGCGTTCTCCATAACCTATTCCTGCATTTCAAAGACGAAATTTGAACAAATTTTGACCTGTCGTTTCGTTTCTCATCAAATTGAATTATTGATTTCAATTTGGAATTTCAATCAATTTAACCTAGATTATTGATTTCGATTTGGAATTTCAATGAATTTAACCTAAAAGATAGAACTAAATTGTAGAGAACAAAAGAAAATCATAGAAGAAAAATGGAAATCAAAATAGAGAAAGTTGAAAATCGATGAAGGTAAGAGAAACAGAGCCACGTTACAAGCACGAAAATGGCGGTTCATAGCGATTTCAGTGCCTGTAGGTTAGTGCGGAGAAGAAGAAGAAATGGAGAGAGACGAAATAGAAAGGAGGTTTTAGTTCACGATGAATCTCTAATTTATAGTTTGCGGAACACGATAGCACGGAAGCAGGTTTTAGTTCACCGCGTATTTTTGAAGCAAAATAGATTTAAGAATACAGTGATTTAATTGGAGCACACACAGATTTATGAGATTGCCACCTTACAATATTTAAGAATAAATACACTACAAACAATAAGAGCCTTATGGCTAATAATCAACTTATCAACACACAACAATAATAACTAAGTTACTGAACATGCAGTACAAACACTTATGCACAATTCCATGACAGGAATGGAACGGTCCCTATATCCTAAAAGGGAAATCTACATAACAACTTCAGATGCCATCAAGTGCTTTTTTGAGATTTCCTCCGAAAAACAACATGAGGTCGCCACCGTGGACCCTGCCTTCCGGCAAATCAAAGCCGACGCCTTTCTTAGATCCACTGCAGTCACCAGTGATGCTGGGGAGGTTTCTGTCTTGTGCTGGCTTATTGGCTGCCAAGAAGTTTGAATAAGATGGTGATTTCATTGAGAGTGGAACTAACACCTCCTTGGGGATAAGGTGATGTCTTCTAGCAGGTGTTTCCGTAGAATCATAGGAATCAGACACGACGCTGATGCCTGAGGAAGAATTGTTGTTCTCAAAACTGCTACAGACAGTGGAAGCAGAAGGTACAAGACCGCGGAAAAGTCCGGGTGCAATCAGACTCCCCTTGCTCGTTTCACTTTCTTGCAACAGGCTGCAGTGAGCAGCACAGAGCCCACTTTTTCCCCTTGCAAATTTTTCACACTTTCCATCTCCCCAATTACATCGCTTTCCTCCACCATGGGCCTTGCAGAAATCTGTGCTCCCTTGAGCACTCTTCCCACAGCTTTCAAACTTGCAGCGCTTACCCCCACCATGCCTGACGCAACAGTCAGTACGGCCGCGAGCACTCTTGGTGCAACCGGAAACAGCACACCTCTTTCCACCACCATGAGCAACACAAAAGCTTGTTCCTCCATGTACACTTTTTGGACAAATACCACCACCATTGAAAAGGCAACGCTTCCCCCCACCATGTGCCTTGCATAGTGGGGTGCTTCCTTCAGCACCTTTAGTGCACCCTGCAAATGAGCAACGTTTCCCACCACCATGTGCCTTGCAAAACATGGTGCTTCCCTGCGCACCCTTTGAACATTCATGGTACTGACAACGGCGTCCACCCCCGTGAGAGATACACAACCCAGCCTGCCCTTCAGCACTTCTGGTGCAACCTTCTATTGTACATCTCTTACCTCCTCCATGTCTAATACAAAGTCCTGACTTACCTCGTGCAGCTTTGGCACACCCACCTGGATACCCACATCGCCGACCACCACCGTGTGCTATGCAATAATCTGTCTTCCCCTCAGCACTTTTAGTACAGCCTAAGTGTTGGCACCTCTTGCCTCCACCATGGGCCTTACAATAAGCAGTACGACTCTCAGCGCCCTTGTTGCATCCTGGTTTCTGACATCTCTGTCCACCCCCATGTCCAATACAAAGCCCTGAAGCACCTCGAGCTCCCTTTGAACAGCCGAAGAATATGCATCTCTTAGGATTGCTTGTTCGGTTCTGTGATGTTATCCCAGTTTCCTGGGGGCCAGACGCGGTGCCAAGTGAGTGATTTGTAGCACCAGATAGTTCGGGGAATGTCTGAGATTTAGTCCCAAGAATTAGTTCTTGTGTCTGCACCGAAATTAAAGCATTATCCATTCTTGGAGCTAAAAGAAGTGATGGCATATAACCACCTGATTTCTTTGCAGAGGTAGAACCCTCATCAACGACAGGTATCATTGCATAATTATATCCTCCTGATGTCTGGCTTGAAAAACATGAAATATTCACATTGGTCTCTGTTGAACCTGAGTACTCCATTACACTTGATATCTCATTTGCTGCACCCGAAAGACCAAGTTGAAGAATTGATTCACATTCGGATGGCATGCTCTGAGAAAAAAGGCTGGCCAATTTTTTCTTCTGATTAAACCCCATATCATTGTAGTCATCACCATACGCCTTCGGGGTTGGGCCCAATCCTAGAACCAATTTGCAGCCATCGTCAACAGCAACGGAAAACTTCATCCCAAGACTGCTCTCAGTACATCCATAATTAGTATTATTGGTTTCTCCAAAGCCAATACCATTCAAGCTTAATGTAGTATTACCAATCCTAAGCTCAGCATCATGAGGAAACAGTACAGCTTTCTCGTTCAAATCCATTATCCAGATGTAGGGCACTACAGCTACAGGAGGTTGAAGTAGCAGAACAGTTCACCACATACTACTACAAGATCCACATACCTACCAGACTAGAAAAAGAAATTTGAGCATAAAGCATCCACCGCTTACAAAGCCTGATGTATCAGATCTATCCATTTTCACGATATCCCACAAGTCAGCTTCAAAAAATCTTACTATACCAAGTATATCTTATAACGTCTCTTGGAAAGAACCCTTTTATAAGACTGGTTAAAACTGATGTAAAGAGTTCCCTGGAGCTTCTCGTGCTCCTTGTGAATAAATCATTAAGCTTCATTTACCCTGACAAGAAAGAAAGAATTAAGTTTTTTTATTTACAAGTTAACACTCATTAGGAAGAAAACTTTTTTTTCTAATACACAATGCACCCATATAAACTCTACACTACCGAAATTGAGGTCAGTTCTTGTAACTAGAATAGGAAATGCCAAGTTTTAAATATCACCTCGAACATGAACAGAAAACCTTCCCAATTAAATAAGATGAAACATTATACACATTAAAAGGGTCTCAAAGATACAAGTACAAACACACTGAAACATTAAAAAGAGTTACAATTTACAAAGGTACAAATATATTCTAAAGAACGAAGGCATGAAAGTTCTAAACATATTAGAATGGAAATTCAAATGACAATAAAAATTTGTCTGAACAATCCCTGATTTTGAAGATAATTGCACATGCAGATTGAGTATTGTAGCCTAAAGCTTATTTATACCTTGGCATTGCAACATTGAAAACAAGTTTTCAATCTACTTTTAAAACTCTTCCCAGAATCTTTAAGATTGGTCCATAAAGCATTACAACGCAAAGACACTATATAAACACGAGGAAATGGGACGAGACAGCTTGAAATTACTGTTTGTTATTTTTTTAAACAACTAATTTTTATACTTGCAGCTCTATTAAAAAACCGTATACTATTAATATTACAATACTCTATGGTATACATATTAGTTTCACCACGAGGGAAAAAATTTCAAACCAAAAATAACATGACAGATGACGTATCACATATCAAGTAGCAGAGTACAAAGATGTAGCTATCATTCCAGCAAGCTATGCAAAATATGTGAATCAAATATGCATTACAAAACAAGATCCAAAGGTTGTTTATAAAATATTTCAAGCATCACACCTACATAAATACGGTAAAAGGCATCCGAGCAGCGAATCTTAGATTGATTGTGAAAGGTTTTACTACACAAATTAAAAATGAAATTTGTGAAAGGAGAAAATCTTGCATCCACCAGAAGGCATCATGCTTAGTCAATTAGATAGCGACACATGACACATTAACCAAATTTGTGACATCATATCAAAATTGAAGTAAGTTTCCATCTATTGGGTGCATTACTATTCTAGTTACAAGAATAGCTCAAAAGAGATAGTATTATGGAAAACATCTTGAATTTCATTATTAGCCACAAGGTGGCATTTACAAAGAGATATGACTTCGGAATTTAAGTTATAATCAGCACTCTCAGCCGAAAAAATATAAAAATTGTGATGAAATAGAAATTAAGCAAGTACATATGAAAACACGAAGATGTATGTACACCAGAAATGAAAAATAGCTTTGACTACAAACAGAACCAAGAGGGGGCAAAATTCAAGCTTCAACAAAGATTGGGATTAAAAGGAAACTGAAAACAAAAAACATAGGAAGGAGTTGTCTGACCTTTGCCAATCTGAAAGAGTAGGATCCATTCCCATTTTCTTCGTATGCTAAAAATGTTCCTGCACGAAATTTGAGCATGACAACTACCTCAGTTAAAAACGCAATTACATAGAAATCCAATTACAGAAAAACGGTATACGAAAGAGAAGAGAATCAGATAAGAGATATACCGTGATTGTGAAGAATCAAGATAGAAAATGGAAATAGTATTCAGATCTGAAAATCACTCTATTCCATTGACACTACGAAGAAGACAAGGCAAAAACGCAAATTGTGAAGGAAGAAACAAAGAAGAGAGAGAGAGAAATGAAAATTCCTTACGTCATAAAGCTCCGTCAATAAATAAAGTAGGGGCGGCTTTGTTTGTTTTATTTGTTTTTCTTTTTATCTTTTTTTAAAGATTATAAATTTCTTTGGCGAGAAAAAGCTTAGAAATGAAATGATATGGCAAAATGACAAAACTGACCCTTTTGGCTTGATGTATAGTACAAGCGTCACATGCTAGCAGCTAACTTGCGGGGCATGTACTTTTTGCTCGAAAACGATATTGAGGACGGAGTTACGTGACTGCCCCTAAAGTCCGCATTTTGTACGGACTGAGATAAGGGTGGTTTCGTCTTTTTGAATTTTTGTCTATTTCTGTGATTTGTGTTTTGTTTTTATGTTAGTGGAAGCGGGAGATGTCGTGTCTCGCTGATGAATTTTTGACGATACAATCACCTGCGGTTGGCGTGGGTTCAAGGTAATCGTGACCGTTTAATGGATCTGAAGTCAATGGTTTGATGAATGAGACGAATCTAAGAACTTTGTGTGTGACGTAAGAGGAGAAAATCTGAGAGCACATTTTGTGGTGGGTAGAAGTTAGAATAATGAATGACGCAAGAATCAGTTTCGGCTTCGGGTAGGCATCTTAGCTTAGATCATTCACATTTGGGTTTCTTGTTTTGTCCTTCAAACATAATTATTCTCTATTTTAAAATCATTTATTCATATTTTCTTCTTACTTATTTTTAAAAAAGGGTTACTAAATGTTGTCCAATTATAAATACTAATCGATGTTCAATGATTTCTTTGTTTTCAAATAATTGTGTTGTGAAATGCTTATTAAAAAAAAATTTGTCTTGTGATAAGTAAAATGTTTGTATATATTAAATTAAATGTTAATATATATTAAATTAAATGTTTGTATATATTAAATTAAATTACCAAAACTAAAAATTTAAAAAAAATATACAAAATAAATTAAATCAAAGAGATAAAAATATTTAAAATTGTTTAATTAATTGATGTTCTCTAATGGAACCAAAATGTTCAAACAGTAAATTGAGATGTTGGTATGATAGAATAAACTTTTGGTGTAATAGAAATGAGGTTGACCTACAACACTCATGTTAGTGGGAGAATGAAAAGTAATATAAGAGTGAGGATGAATTTGAATATTTGAGAATAACATGTTTTCCCTCTTAACTTAACTCATTTATATTTGGATCTCCTTTTTATAATTATCAAGAGGTCTTGATAAATTTTCACGTTGAAGGGAAACTCTAATCACACTATGGTGTGTCTTTCTCTGCACATCGTTGAATGTAATAGTTGGTATAAACAACAAGATGGATAAGCCCATTACATATATATCCACTCAACTGATCGAGGATCATAAATCTTTAGATATTCTCAAAACACTTGTTTTGATCATTGTATTTGATATTTTCCATCAACGTATATTTTTGGATTAGGGACTTCATACATATTGTATACTTAGAAGTATACTTTTTGCTTTTCACAGCTCCATTGATAATCTTTAAAGTTTCGAGCTACAAAGTATACCTAAATTTTCTCGGGTCCAGGTGTGTTAGTTTTTCCAAAGGGTCTAGGATTGTTACCTTTAGACCTTTTTAATTTATCAATATAGAAGTGAAGACTCAATGAAACACAAGAAATGGGGGTTGAATTGGGTTTCTAGAATTAAAATATTTTCGAACACCCTGTTGTAAATGTGTCTTAAAAATCTTTGTTGATGAAGACAAAGAAAACATGTTTTGAGATTGTCAAAAAATCAATAAGTCGAAAAACAACAAGAATGTCTGATTTGGGCGGTTCACAGATTTCGGGTTTGACCGGTTTGGTTTGCGAATCCATTATTTAATGTTAGAATATTGAATATATATTAATTTAGAAATAGTCTAAATTAATATAAAATATATTATAAGATATTTATAATATTTTATTTTAATAATTAATGGGTTGTGCTTTTTGGGCTTGTGTTTTTGTTAATATAAATATGTATCTCTTTGTTGTGTTTAAAGGGTGACAATCTTATAACTTACACTAACAAGGGAGAACAAAAGGTTTAAAGGCATAGCATATGGTTTTGACTGTTCTCAAGGGAAACCTTAGAAAGACAAGGGTTTTGGAAACCTTGGAGTTATTTAAGGTTATTGGGAATTGAGAAATACTTGTTTACACTTTGAGCTTGAGTTATTTATATATTGAAAGTTGAAGAGGTTAGGAAACACTTGGGGATAGAAAATAAGGTAATTCTTGGATACTTTTAGGGTTATTCTTGGGAACCTGAAGGAGAATTCTATTTTCTTGTAACTCATATGTAATCTTTTATAATAACTTTCTGAGTATAGTGAATTAGAGAGCTGCTCTCTCCCCCAGAGTAAATCGTTTGATCGAACTGGGTAAACAAACCTTCGTCTTTTTCTCGCCTTACTTTGTTATATTATTTGTCTACGAATTATTATTGTTGTAGATAATTTATTTTGGTTGATATTATTCTTTGCCTCACAAATTGATATTGAGTTTTGTCGTAGTTAACAACAAGATTCACAATAAGTGGTGCAGTGAGCATGGAACAAAGAGGTATTGAGCACCATAGGTAGATGGGAGATCGAGAAATTTTTCGATAACAACGACTTTGAGTTATGGAAATTAAGATGCAAGCAATTTTAACTCAAGAGAAATGTATTGATGCTTTGAAGAGTGAAGCATTGATGTATGTATGTCTTACACAGGTATAGAAGACTGAGATGGCAGATAAGGCTAAAAGTGTCATTATCTTAAACCTCGGGGATAAAGTTCTAAGAGAGGTCTCGAGAGAGCAAATTATGGTTGTTATGTGGATAAAACTTGAATAATTGTATATGACTAATTCTTTGACTCACAAGTTGTGAATGAAACAATAACTCTATTCATTTTGAATGGTGGAGCATAAGTCCATAGTTGAGCAGCTTATAGAATTTCACAAGATTATTGATGATATTGAGAATATTGAAGTGAATATTGATGAGGAGGATAAGGCTTTACTATCGTTAAGTTCATTACCCATATCTTTTGAGCACCTTAAGGATGTCCTTCTTTATAGTAAGGAATGTACTATTACTTTGGATAAAGTCCAGATGGCGGTGAAATCCAAATAATTATCAAAGTAGAAAGATTTGAAGATTGAAGATAGTGGTGAAGGCTTAAATGTGTCAAGAGGAGGAGGTGACCGTAAAGGGATGTCAAAATCAAAGAGGTCTGACAAGTCAAAGGTAAAATGTTTTAATTGTCAGAAAATTGGTCACTTTAAAAGGGATTGTCCTGAGAGAAAAGTCAATAAGTATTATGTTCATGATGTTGGTGCCTTGGGTGAGGAAATTTATGATGATGCTGATGTACTAGTAGTATCTGAAGGTAGAGAAAACACAAGAAAATGGGGTTTGAATTGTGTTCTTAGAAAACATTCCCTATTAAAAATTCTTTGCACTCAAATGATAACAGCTATAAATATAATGAAGAGAAAAGGACACAAGTATTGTTAAACGACGTGTATCTAGAGGGAGAGTGAATAGAGGCGCACAAAATATTTCTAGACACAAATCTAGAAATTTATTTGTTTTCAAAACTTTTTGATGTGGGGGAAATTAATTGGATAAGTCGTCTAAAAACAACTTATTGGAAACTCATATATACAAATTATGAAAGATAAATCTATGAGACAAAATTGAGTAATTGATTAATACAAACTCAAATCAATGATCCACTTATTTATTGTTTGAACACAATCACTTTTCAATACTATTTCCAATGCTAAATAATCAAAGAACTAACTTGACCGTTTTATCAATCACTTGGCGTGCACGTGAATTTTTCAGAATTTCTCTTTGAGTAGTGTTGATATACAAGACCACTTCTAATCAAAATTGATTATAAGTTATATCCACACCTATTTCAAAAATAGATTTTGAGATAAAAATTCTTACAACTCAATTACTATCACAATTCTATTTGATAAAAAGATTGATGAAATTGAAAGCAAGTAAAAGCAGAAAAGTAAAAACACACAACGAATTTGTCTACACAGTTCCCCACTATTGTCCTCATGTGTGGGTACGTCTACGTCTAATTCCAATGGAACTATGATAATTCCTATATGCAAAATATTTAATACAATAGAAGAGTTAGAAACAACAATACAAAGTTCTCCAATTTGGTGTTGATGCTCCTTCTTCCAACCTTTGAACTTAAGCAAGATCGAATAAACCGATAGATGCAACTTATTCTCTGCTTAAGCTACTTCCTTAAAAGTATTTCAAACACCCCAAGGTTCTTTGCAAAGATTTCAAACACTCCAAGGGATTTTTCACTCAAGTAAATTCGATTGCAAACTATCAACACAAGTTCACTGATTTTATCATCCAATTCTTGCTACTTCCTTAAAAAGATTTCAACCACTCTAAGGTTCCTTGAAAAGATTTCAAAGACTCCAAGGGATTTTTCACATGGAAGATTCCTTCTCGCACGATCTTGCACGAAAAACCCCAATTCAAAAAATGATGTTGGAGGATAAACCCGATGGTTTTCGAATAAAGACCCCTACAAGAACTCAATCCAAACCAATTGGAAATCTATAATTCTTCATCTAGATGGCACCCTAACGGAACATCATCAAATGTAATATTGGTGTGTATGCATAGATTGGAAGGTTGAAGATGAAGAGAAAAAGTAGGCTAATTTTATGGTATCATCAAGTTGAAAAAGATGCATGAATGGGTATTATAGTTTTGAACATTTTGGGTAAGGAGGGAAAATTTGGAATTAAAAGGATTTGGAAATTTGGCCAAAAACAATTGTACGTGTCGATCTCAAATTTGTATGTGTCGACACATACGTTATGAAAAGGATGCATGTGTCGACCTGAAAGACTATATGTGTCGACCTGAGCAAGACAGAAGCTACATGCTTTAAAACGTGAGTAAATGTGTTGACCTGAAATGTGAGTGTGTCGACACATAAAATAAGAATTTCTGCAATTTCAGAATTCTTCTAGTATGTGTCAACCTATATGATGCATATGTTGACATGTGACTTACAGAAGCTTATAGGCTTTAAAATTGAGTTACATGTGTCGACCTGAAACTCGGATTTGTCGACACATGCAATGAAATTTGACTCAAAAAGCTTAATTTTAAAGACATAAATCATTCAACACACTTTGTGATGACTTCCTAACTCTTCTCAAGTGGACTAATACATCAAACCATCTAAAAGGCCATGCAAAGCTTATAGAGACACGTGATACTTGTATTTTCGACATCATTCAAAATCCTTTCAAAAGCGAGATAGAGATTTCACTCACAAGTATTTTATCCAAGTTCGCCATTAACTAGGCTACTAATGTCCACCCTTGCAAGGATTATGTTTCCTTATCCAAGGACTTAATCCAATATAATCAAATTGATTATAATCGCACGGGCAACCGCCAATGACTAACTCACAATGACACATTCAAGGATCCAACCAAATATAACTTTCATTGACCCAATAAAATCTGATCCCTCAAGATCTCCTACCAGG